GGGCCAGGGCGCGTACGGGGTCGGGGTCGGGCGCCGAGTGGGAGGGGATCCCAGCGTCCACGGCACAGCGGCGTCCACAGTCCCCGTCGGGGACCCCACCCCCGGGTCCTGGAGTAGGAAGAGAAGGGCGGGCCGGATCGCCCTGGCTGACTCGCGCACCTGGGCGCCGAGTTCGCGCACCTGGAGAACAAGCGTAACAGCGCCTCCCTCGTGAGAAGACTGGAGAGGCCCGGGTGACAGCGCTCATCAAATGCCAGCATAGACACCCATAGGGTACTGATTAAAAGTCATATTGCTGCAATCGTCCTGCCTTGTTGAATTTCCTTTTGCTAACTGAGGGAGTGTCCCTTGTACCATCAGGGATTAGAGCACGCAGATCCTAGATGAGGGATGGGGAGTCTGAGGTCCGTAGTTAAGGATGCCTTGGGTCCTCGAGCTTGGACTGGGAAAGTGTCGAGTGTCCGGGGTGACTGACTTGTGGACAGGGTGTGTCGGGGACGAAAGTGACCTGAATGTAGCTCCCGGGGACCGGGAGGCGCGTTCTGGCACCGAGAGCAGGGGACAGGTGGTGTGGGCCAGTTCTGCCCAGCCTTGTCTCAGGACCCTCTTTCCGGGCGCAATCCACATCCCGCCACCTGGGCAGCCTCTGTGGCCCGCGCCTCCCTCGTCCTGCGGGGGTCAGACGGCCTTCCCCGGCCGGGCGCAATCCACATCCCGCCACCTGGGCAGCCTCTGTGGCCCGCGCCTCCCTCGTCCTGCGGGGGTCAGACGGCCTTCCCCGGCCGGGCGCAATCCACATCCCGCCACCTGGGCAGCCTCTGTGGCCCGCGCCTCCCTCGTCCTGCGGGGGTCAGACGGCCTTCCCCGGCCGGGCGCAATCCACATCCCGCCACCTGGGCAGCCTCTGTGGCCCGCGCCTCCCTCGTCCTGCGGGGGTCAGACGGCCTTCCCCGGCCGGGCGCAATCCACATCCCGCCACCTGGGCAGCCTCTGTGGCCCGCGCCTCCCTCGTCCTGCGGGGGTCAGACGGCCTTCCCCGGCCGGGCGCAATCCACATCCCGCCACCTGGGCAGCCTCTGTGGCCCGCGCCTCCCTCGTCCTGCGGGGGTCAGACGGCCTTCCCCGGCCGGGCGCAATCCACATCCCGCCACCTGGGCAGCCTCTGTGGCCCGCGCCTCCCTCGTCCTGCGGGGGTCAGACGGCCTTCCCCGGCCGGGCGCAATCCACATCCCGCCACCTGGGCAGCCTCTGTGGCCCGCGCCTCCCTCGTCCTGCGGGGGTCAGACGGCCTTCCCCGGCCGGGCGCAATCCACATCCCGCCACCTGGGCAGCCTCTGTGGCCCGCGCCTCCCTCGTCCTGCGGGGGTCAGACGGCCTTCCCCGGCCGGGCGCAATCCACATCCCGCCACCTGGGCAGCCTCTGTGGCCCGCGCCTCCCTCGTCCTGCGGGGGTCAGACGGCCTTCCCCGGCCGGGCGCAATCCACATCCCGCCACCTGGGCAGCCTCTGTGGCCCGCGCCTCCCTCGTCCTGCGGGGGTCAGACGGCCTTCCCCGGCCGGGCGCAATCCACATCCCGCCACCTGGGCAGCCTCTGTGGCCCGCGCCTCCCTCGTCCTGCGGGGGTCAGACGGCCTTCCCCGGCCGGGCGCAATCCACATCCCGCCACCTGGGCAGCCTCTGTGGCCCGCGCCTCCCTCGTCCTGCGGGGGTCAGACGGCCTTCCCCGGCCGGGCGCAATCCACATCCCGCCACCTGGGCAGCCTCTGTGGCCCGCGCCTCCCTCGTCCTGCGGGGGTCAGACGGCCTTCCCCGGCCGGGCGCAATCCACATCCCGCCACCTGGGCAGCCTCTGTGGCCCGCGCCTCCCTCGTCCTGCGGGGGTCAGACGGCCTTCCCCGGCCGGGCGCAATCCACATCCCGCCACCTGGGCAGCCTCTGTGGCCCGCGCCTCCCTCGTCCTGCGGGGGTCAGACGGCCTTCCCCGGCCGGGCGCAATCCACATCCCGCCACCTGGGCAGCCTCTGTGGCCCGCGCCTCCCTCGTCCTGCGGGGGTCAGACGGCCTTCCCCGGCCGGGCGCAATCCACATCCCGCCACCTGGGCAGCCTCTGTGGCCCGCGCCTCCCTCGTCCTGCGGGGGTCAGACGGCCTTCCCCGGCCGGGCGCAATCCACATCCCGCCACCTGGGCAGCCTCTGTGGCCCGCGCCTCCCTCGTCCTGCGGGGGTCAGACGGCCTTCCCCGGCCGGGCGCAATCCACATCCCGCCACCTGGGCAGCCTCTGTGGCCCGCGCCTCCCTCGTCCTGCGGGGGTCAGACGGCCTTCCCCGGCCGGGCGCAATCCACATCCCGCCACCTGGGCAGCCTCTGTGGCCCGCGCCTCCCTCGTCCTGCGGGGGTCAGACGGCCTTCCCCGGCCGGGCGCAATCCACATCCCGCCACCTGGGCAGCCTCTGTGGCCCGCGCCTCCCTCGTCCTGCGGGGGTCAGACGGCCTTCCCCGGCCGGGCGCAATCCACATCCCGCCACCTGGGCAGCCTCTGTGGCCCGCGCCTCCCTCGTCCTGCGGGGGTCAGACGGCCTTCCCCGGCCGGGCGCAATCCACATCCCGCCACCTGGGCAGCCTCTGTGGCCCGCGCCTCCCTCGTCCTGCGGGGGTCAGACGGCCTTCCCCGGCCGGGCGCAATCCACATCCCGCCACCTGGGCAGCCTCTGTGGCCCGCGCCTCCCTCGTCCTGCGGGGGTCAGACGGCCTTCCCCGGCCGGGCGCAATCCACATCCCGCCACCTGGGCAGCCTCTGTGGCCCGCGCCTCCCTCGTCCTGCGGGGGTCAGACGGCCTTCCCCGGCCGGGCGCAATCCACATCCCGCCACCTGGGCAGCCTCTGTGGCCCGCGCCTCCCTCGTCCTGCGGGGGTCAGACGGCCTTCCCCGGCCGGGCGCAATCCACATCCCGCCACCTGGGCAGCCTCTGTGGCCCGCGCCTCCCTCGTCCTGCGGGGGTCAGACGGCCTTCCCCGGCCGGGCGCAATCCACATCCCGCCACCTGGGCAGCCTCTGTGGCCCGCGCCTCCCTCGTCCTGCGGGGGTCAGACGGCCTTCCCCGGCCGGGCGCAATCCACATCCCGCCACCTGGGCAGCCTCTGTGGCCCGCGCCTCCCTCGTCCTGCGGGGGTCAGACGGCCTTCCCCGGCCGGGCGCAATCCACATCCCGCCACCTGGGCAGCCTCTGTGGCCCGCGCCTCCCTCGTCCTGCGGGGGTCAGACGGCCTTCCCCGGCCGGGCGCAATCCACATCCCGCCACCTGGGCAGCCTCTGTGGCCCGCGCCTCCCTCGTCCTGCGGGGGTCAGACGGCCTTCCCCGGCCGGGCGCAATCCACATCCCGCCACCTGGGCAGCCTCTGTGGCCCGCGCCTCCCTCGTCCTGCGGGGGTCAGACGGCCTTCCCCGGCCGGGCGCAATCCACATCCCGCCACCTGGGCAGCCTCTGTGGCCCGCGCCTCCCTCGTCCTGCGGGGGTCAGACGGCCTTCCCCGGCCGGGCGCAATCCACATCCCGCCACCTGGGCAGCCTCTGTGGCCCGCGCCTCCCTCGTCCTGCGGGGGTCAGACGGCCTTCCCCGGCCGGGCGCAATCCACATCCCGCCACCTGGGCAGCCTCTGTGGCCCGCGCCTCCCTCGTCCTGCGGGGGTCAGACGGCCTTCCCCGGCCGGGCGCAATCCACATCCCGCCACCTGGGCAGCCTCTGTGGCCCGCGCCTCCCTCGTCCTGCGGGGGTCAGACGGCCTTCCCCGGCCGGGCGCAATCCACATCCCGCCACCTGGGCAGCCTCTGTGGCCCGCGCCTCCCTCGTCCTGCGGGGGTCAGACGGCCTTCCCCGGCCGGGCGCAATCCACATCCCGCCACCTGGGCAGCCTCTGTGGCCCGCGCCTCCCTCGTCCTGCGGGGGTCAGACGGCCTTCCCCGGCCGGGCGCAATCCACATCCCGCCACCTGGGCAGCCTCTGTGGCCCGCGCCTCCCTCGTCCTGCGGGGGTCAGACGGCCTTCCCCGGCCGGGCGCAATCCACATCCCGCCACCTGGGCAGCCTCTGTGGCCCGCGCCTCCCTCGTCCTGCGGGGGTCAGACGGCCTTCCCCGGCCGGGCGCAATCCACATCCCGCCACCTGGGCAGCCTCTGTGGCCCGCGCCTCCCTCGTCCTGCGGGGGTCAGACGGCCTTCCCCGGCCGGGCGCAATCCACATCCCGCCACCTGGGCAGCCTCTGTGGCCCGCGCCTCCCTCGTCCTGCGGGGGTCAGACGGCCTTCCCCGGCCGGGCGCAATCCACATCCCGCCACCTGGGCAGCCTCTGTGGCCCGCGCCTCCCTCGTCCTGCGGGGGTCAGACGGCCTTCCCCGGCCGGGCGCAATCCACATCCCGCCACCTGGGCAGCCTCTGTGGCCCGCGCCTCCCTCGTCCTGCGGGGGTCAGACGGCCTTCCCCGGCCGGGCGCAATCCACATCCCGCCACCTGGGCAGCCTCTGTGGCCCGCGCCTCCCTCGTCCTGCGGGGGTCAGACGGCCTTCCCCGGCCGGGCGCAATCCACATCCCGCCACCTGGGCAGCCTCTGTGGCCCGCGCCTCCCTCGTCCTGCGGGGGTCAGACGGCCTTCCCCGGCCGGGCGCAATCCACATCCCGCCACCTGGGCAGCCTCTGTGGCCCGCGCCTCCCTCGTCCTGCGGGGGTCAGACGGCCTTCCCCGGCCGGGCGCAATCCACATCCCGCCACCTGGGCAGCCTCTGTGGCCCGCGCCTCCCTCGTCCTGCGGGGGTCAGACGGCCTTCCCCGGCCGGGCGCAATCCACATCCCGCCACCTGGGCAGCCTCTGTGGCCCGCGCCTCCCTCGTCCTGCGGGGGTCAGACGGCCTTCCCCGGCCGGGCGCAATCCACATCCCGCCACCTGGGCAGCCTCTGTGGCCCGCGCCTCCCTCGTCCTGCGGGGGTCAGACGGCCTTCCCCGGCCGGGCGCAATCCACATCCCGCCACCTGGGCAGCCTCTGTGGCCCGCGCCTCCCTCGTCCTGCGGGGGTCAGACGGCCTTCCCCGGCCGGGCGCAATCCACATCCCGCCACCTGGGCAGCCTCTGTGGCCCGCGCCTCCCTCGTCCTGCGGGGGTCAGACGGCCTTCCCCGGCCGGGCGCAATCCACATCCCGCCACCTGGGCAGCCTCTGTGGCCCGCGCCTCCCTCGTCCTGCGGGGGTCAGACGGCCTTCCCCGGCCGGGCGCAATCCACATCCCGCCACCTGGGCAGCCTCTGTGGCCCGCGCCTCCCTCGTCCTGCGGGGGTCAGACGGCCTTCCCCGGCCGGGCGCAATCCACATCCCGCCACCTGGGCAGCCTCTGTGGCCCGCGCCTCCCTCGTCCTGCGGGGGTCAGACGGCCTTCCCCGGCCGGGCGCAATCCACATCGGCTGGCTGATCTGATCTGACCCGCCGCAGGCCGCCGCGCTAGGCCCGGGGGCGGGACTCCTAGCTTTCCGGCCGGTCTGTGGTGAGATGGCCGCTGACCCTCTCTGAAGGGTCAGCTGGGGAGCTCCAGAGGGGACATCCTGGAAGACCGGGCGTTGGGAAATGTGCTAGTGTGTCCCGCCTCTCTGGCCGAAGACCGGAGTGCAGACCAGAGCGCCGCGGTTGGGGGAAGGGCACACCTTTCCGTTTCGCTTCCTTCGGGAAGGCTCTTGGAGTTTTGTGCAGTGATCCGATTGATGAGGTATCTGGAAAACTACGTTTTGGTTCCTCAAACCCTGCACCTGGGTTCCTTGTATCACTGACATATTTCACGTGGGGTTTTTCTTTTACAAATGAGGAAACTGCTCTCTTTGGGCTTTTGTGTGTGTAAACAGGCGTAACAATGTTTACCATTCTGGCCATCTTTAAAAGATGTGAATCACTCCATTTTGTGAGAGCAGCTAAAGAGAAACCTGCTGGGAGGGAGGCTGAGAAGGTGGTCCGAGCCCTTTCCTCTAGGGTGGACTTCTGAGCTGTGCAGGGAGACCTTGACCTAGAAATTGGTCCAACTAGGTTGGGTCACTGTTTAACTTTCACCTTGGACCTTTCCTCATCTGTAAATTGTGATACCACTGGGGGGAGGTTCAAGGAGGCAGGGCTTGTAAGATACTTGGCACATGAGAACCAGCTAATGGTATTTTACTGGCACTTTTTCTATGGAATTCTTCACCTCCCTGGTTGAAGAGAGGGCGCTTAATGTCCAGAGACATTAAGAATGTTCTTTCGACTTTGGAATTGGAGGAGGGTTAAGGTATTCCTGGGCCCTGTGTGGCCAAGTCCGAATTTATCACATGGGTGGGCTTCAGGGTTTCCACGAATCCCCTCCGGTCATGTCTGTTACATTAGTTGGGTAGATGTGCTTTTTCCTTGTATCTGATGTCAGTGACTGCTGCAACATTAGGAACCCCTATTCTAGCTAAGGTGAACCAGAGCCAAATCTGGGAGACCCTATTGGGGCTGTGCCACAGGAAACCCTTGCATACCATCTGTCTGTTTACAGATAACTGTGTGCTGCTGTCCAGGGCTCTCACTGCCTGGCCAGACACTTTCATGCTAACTCTTGAACCAGGCAATAATGAGGGGTTGAAGATAGTCAGCATGTAATCAGTTTTGGTGGTTTGGTCAGTTCATCATGGTACCTCTGTGAGGTGTACACTGTTACCATCTGCCTCCTTTTACAAGGAGAGAAAATGAGGCTGAGAAAAGGAAAGTTAACTTGATCAATGTCAAACAGCACCTGGCAGGCTTTGAATCAACATGGGGAGACTGCTCTTAACTTAGTCGGAAGGACCTTCCTCTGAGCACTCTGAGAGTTGAGGCAGGAGGATCACAAGTTTAAGCCCAGCCTGGGCAGTTTAGTGACCTAGCAAGACTCTGACTCAAAACAAAAAATGGGCTGGGATGTAGCTCAATGTACAGGCTCTGGATTCAATCCTAGTATGAAAAAAAAAAGTGCACTCAACACTTGCGGAGGCTGAGCCAGGAGGATCACTGTGGGTTCAAGACCAGCCTGGGGCTACATACAAGTTCCAGGTCAGTCTCAACTACATAGTGAGACCTTGTCAAAAAAAAAAAAAAAAAAAAAAAAGGACTTCCTCTAGAAGGCCATTTGCAGCACTTAAAATGAAATATTTTTAAATCCCAGCCTGCTAGTACAGGTGGCCAGGGGTTGCCACAGTGTCCCATCTAACCCCCAAATGGTCAGGCTGTGCAGCGGGGGAGTGATGGGAATGCAGCTATAGGGGTCCTCCTCACACCCTTGGGGAAAGTTGCTAGCCAGGGGCGGGTTGTTGCCCCCTGCAGGTGCTAATGAAGAGGGAAGTGGAAATTAAGTGAAAAAGGACTGCTGGAGAGTAGCAGCCTGGAGGCTGAGGCTGGGAACTTACCTTCATAATACGGGCTGACTTCCCAGATAAATTGATTCATGAACAGGTTAGACCCCCTCTAATGAAAAATCCCTGATTTTTATTTAGCAATAAACCTTCAAACATCTTTATGTCCCTGGGTCCCTGTGATAATGCAGAGATGGGCAGTGCATTATCCCCACTGCAGCGAAGAGGAAATAGAGGTAGATAAAATTTAAAAATTAGTTGGGCATGTGGTACCTATGTGTAATCCCAGCACTCTGGGAAAGCCGAGGCAGGAGAATCCCAATTTTACTCTTGGCTCTGTTGCTTTCCAAGATGGACCTCTCAGGGGTGTCTGACCTTCAATTTTCCTCATCTCTAAAATGGGCTCATAACATTATTGACTCCTCTGCTGAGGTGAGGATGAGAAATGGTTGACACAAAGTACAGGATGCAACATGGGCTGAGGTGGTTGATGGGTGACCAAGTGTTGGGGAGCTGCTCTCAGCCTGCTTTCTCCCTGGTTTTGTCCCCCCAGATGTGGAGGTGGATGGGCAGAACTGGACCTTTGCTTTTGACTTCTCCTTCCTGAGCCAGCAAGAGGATTTGGTGTGGGCTGAGCTCCGGCTGCAGCTGGCCAGTCCTGTGTACCTCCCCACCGAGGGCCTGCTCACCATTCAGATTTTCCACCAGCCCAAGCTGGACACAGAGCAGCACCCAGCCGCCTGCCCAGAGCGTCTTCGGATGGAGCTGTTTGCTGCCACACCGTCCCAGGTTACCTTTTCCTCAGGCAGCATGGTCCTAGAGGTGACCAGGCCACTATCCAAATGGTTGAAAGACCCCAAGGCACTGGAGGAGCAGATGTCCAGTGTGGCCAGAGAGTGCTGGCAGCTCCCCCCCAGCCAGCCCGTCACAATCACCGTCACCAACGTGCTTCTCATGCTCTACTCCAACCTGTCCAGGGAGCAGAGGCGGCTGGGTGGTGCCACTTTGCTGTGGGAAGCCGAGAGCTCCTGGCGGGCCCAGGAGGGACAGCTGTTCCAGGAGAGGGCCAGGAGGCACCGGCGGCATCACTCGCCAGACAGAAGCCGGCTGTGTCGCAAGGTCAAGTTCCAGGTTGACTTCAACCTGATCGGATGGGGCTCCTGGATCATCTACCCCAAGCAGTACAACGCCTATCGCTGTGAGGGCGAGTGTCCCAACCCTGTGGGTGAGGAGTTCCACCCCACCAACCATGCATACATCCAGGTGGGACGCCAAGGCCTGGGGCAGGGTGGGGGCTGTAAGCCACAGCACCTAGTGTGCCACATCCCGTGTGAGGTTCTGGGAGAACATGGAGATGATTCGTCACAGTGTCATAACAGAGGCTTATGGGGTCCTGCTCTGTGGTGTGGCCTTAAACACATTGCTTCCCTGGGACTTTCCCTTGTCTTTTTTTTTGGTACTCGGGAGCAAACTCTAGTCCTTGTGGTTACAAGGCAGGTGGCGGGTGGAACCACTGAGCTAAATCCCTGGACTTTTTTTTTTTTTTTTTTTTGAGACAGGGACTTGCTATGTATGCCAGGCAGGCCTTGATCTTACCATGTAGCCTAGGCTGGTCTCAAACTCATGATTGTCCTGCCTCAGCCTCCCCAGGGTCTGTGGGTAGAATAGAGAGTCTCAGCTCCTCCGTGGAGCTGATTTTCTAGGAAAAGAAGTTCAGAATCTGGACTTTAGAATGGGCAGACCTGGGTCTGATGCCTATGTATTAGCTGCATGATATTAAGTTGCTTATTCTCTCCAGCTACCATTTTCTTGCCTGTAAAATGGGAAGGGCACTGCCATGTTTCCTAGGGATACTGTAGGGCCCATGAGATGGTGTGCATGCAGCCCGTGAAGTAGGGGGCAGGTAGCAGGCAGGTTTGATCTTGTTTTTTCATTACTTAAAGTCTGACTGGGGCTGTGAAATGGTGGCTGTGTTTATCAGGGCCATGACTGCAATAATACTGTTCTAGCCACTGTACTTTCTCTACCTGAACTTGTAGCCGATGACCTGTTTCACAGAAGACAATCAGGCCAGAGGCTGCCACCAGGTGCCACTGAATAGCCAACGGCAGTGACGGCAAACCTTTTAGAGCTTTCAATGATAACAAATAGCTCGTTGCAGCATGCATGCCACAGGTTCGACCCCACTGCTCTAGGAGGTGGTGGTGGGAGAGGAATAGGACTGCTGAGCTAGGAAGGGAAATAACTGGAGAGAACATGGAGCCTGACATGGTGGGCTTCACCTTAGAGGGGGTCTTCTCTGCTCTTCAGGGTTCACATGGGATCAAGATCTCTGGGACCTGCAGTCCTTTTTCTGTGCCAAGCTGCCAGCAGGGTCTGGGATCTGGGCAGCATGAGCAAGGGAACCTGTGCAAGCCAGAGCCCCAGAGGACCTGTCTTGGACAAAGGCCTTCCTGCACCCAGATGGGCAGCCCTCACAAGGGAATCATCGGACCCAGACAGTCCATTCACCGAACTGACCCTCTGAACTGAAGACTTGCTTGACTGCAGGGATGAGGGTAGTACCCAAATGCCAAGGGGTGCTACCTTCTTGTTGTTCACTGTGCCCTTTTCTGGCCAACAAAGCACATCCTGTGAGAATTTCCACAGGACTCTATTCTACATATTTCTAGAATTAAACCAGGAGTTTCTTGGGTTTTTTTTTTTTTTTTTTTTTTTTGGTACCAGGGATCAAACTCAAGACCTTGTGCTTGTGAGGCAGGCAGCAGTAGCACTGAGCTAAATCTCCAGCTCTTCTTAGAATCTTTTAAAACTGGTATTCACTCTATACTAGAACAACAGGGCAGACATATACAGTTAGTTACTGTTCTCCCCAGAACTCAAGGGAACACTACCACTGAGCTATATACCCAGACCTTTTTATTTTTTGAGACAGGGTCTCAGATGCCCATGCTGGCCTTGAACTTTTGTTCTCCTTAGTTTCCTGGGTAGCTGAGATTATAGGTGTGCGTCACCACACACTAGGACTTCTTTTTAGGGTTCAGGACCTCACACATGCTAGGCAAGTGCTCTACCTTGGAGCTATACCTCCTGGTTTACAAGTAACTTATTTATTTATTGGTACTGGGGATTTAACTCAGGACCTTCTGCTTGTGAGGCAGGTATGGTGCCACTGAGGTATATCCCCGGCCCCACAAGTAACTTTTAGAATCTGTTTAGAGGCAAAGTTCTGTTCGGTGTTGGAAGTGATGATCTATTGGTGGCTGGTTCTCCTATAAAAACAACTTTCTTCTATTTTTTGCACCCAGAAAATTTTAACTCTGTAATGTTTTAGTCTTTACCTCCTTCCTCCCCCTTTACAGAGTCTGCTGAAACGCTACCAGCCCCACCGAGTCCCTTCCACCTGCTGTGCGCCAGTGAAGACCAAGCCACTGAGCATGCTGTATGTAGACAACGGCAGGGTGCTCCTCGAGCACCACAAAGACATGATTGTGGAGGAGTGTGGCTGCCTCTGATGGATCCTGGAGGAATGCCGGATTTGCCTGCAATCCACTAGTTTGGGAAGCTCTGGGGAGGCACGGTAGCATCTATCCAGAGAGAAGAACAGAGGGGAGAAGTGGCTCTGTGGGCCAGTGCCACAGAGGAAGGGCTGCCCAATCTGCAGTGAAGGGCTCTGCTGGGCCACCTCGGGAAGAAGGGGCAGGAGGAAGCTTGTTGGGCCTGCCCAGCTCCCCCCTCACTGAAGACAGTGGTGAGCAAGAGCACAAGTGCAAGTTCTTTACCCGTGTTTTTTTTTAACCTTGAAATTGTGTGCAAAAGTTGGGGCATATGTGCATTTATTTTTGAGGTGGGGCAAGGCCATCTATAGCTTTTGCGTATTCTCAAAAGTGGTCTGTGACACACTGTCTCCTCCCCAAACTTATGCGTCATTTTATGAGATCACCCCGCCCCCCCCCACACCTTTCTTGCTGGCCAGTGGCAATCTGTTCACCCAGCCCAGAGGCTTCCTGGAGGGGTCTCTGCTAATGAACCGCATAAATAACAGTCACTGTCTAGTTCCCCCAGGGCAGCCAGTGCCTTTGACAGGAGAGGCAGGAACTTGCCCAAGAGGACTGGCCACACTGGGCTACATTTGCTGGGGCCCTCAGATGTCCCCAAGTCAGTCTGCTTGGCAGACACAACCTGAATGAATCTATTAAATGTGGTGACAATTGACCTGAGTCTCAATGTGTGCTATTAATGAGGGCTCCAAGGTGTCTATCCAGCAGGGATGAAGCCCTCAGGTAAGTATTCACTGCTCGGCCTCCTCCAGATGGCGAATCCTAATGTGTTTCTATGAAATATCTCTTGTGGGGGCTGGGGATGCAGCTCAGCTGTACAGTGCCTGACAAGGCCTGAGGTTCCATTCCCAGCACTACAAAAAACAAGTCTGGGGCCGGGGATTTAGCTCAGTGGTTCTGCCACCTGCCTTGCAAACGCAAGGACCAGAGTTCGATCCCAGGTACCAAAAACAAAACAGAAAAACCCAAGTCCGTTGGCAGTGCTCATGAGCTGCTGGACAGGGTGGCCCGCACCTGTTATCCCAGCACTCGAGGCTGAGGCAGGAGGATCACCATGAGTTTAAGGCCACCTGAGTCACATAGTGAGTTCAAGGCCAACCTGAACTATATAGCAAAATCTCTCAAAGAAAAAAGAAAAAAAGCTATAGATTATCATTAGGCCTTATTCCCAATCTCCCTCCTAATGGTGGTAAGGCCTAAGCCTAGATCCTGCCATATCCCTTTTTGTCTCAGCTTTGCTTTTTATTTTTAACTCTGGGTCCTACAACTGGCCTAATTCCGGAGTCCAAGCTTACCCATAGGAAAATGCTGCCACCAATTTAAGCACAAGCTTTCACCTTCTGAGTGAAGAGGCCCCAAAGTCAGCTTCATTTTGTTGAGCATTACTAAAGCAAGGCTGTTTTTGTTTAGGGTGAGCAGGCCCTTTATGGAGAATGGTCATCTATGTGATATCCTGATATCTACCCCCATTTCCCAAGAAGCCCCCCACACTTGGTGTGCCAGATTTAGGAGAATGATCCTAAATTGTGGAGGACCCTGTTGAGCTTAGGGTTATTCAGGTGCAGCCTCCAGTGTGGCAAGTGGGAATCCTGACCCAAGCAGGAACTGGGTTTGCTCGAGCTGGGCCTGGACTTCTAAAACCTCTTGGCTTTGATTCAGCAACAAACTGATCCAGCTGTTCCTCCCAGACTGGAAATAGACCTGCCCAGGACTAAGCACAGTTCAGGACCACAGGATTCTGCGTGTGATTGTACCTGAGAACAGTAGCATGGGCAGTCTTAGGTCGGCCTGTTGCGTTCCCTTTCCTGAAGGAGACTGCAGAGAGCCAAGCTCTGATTTTCTGAGCTCTATGAGCATCATCATGAGTAGCGACCAGGGGTTTTGCTCACCCAGCTTTGATTCAAGCTCTTGGCCTTTAGGGGAAAACATCAAACCCTACCACCGACCTGAAGTTCCTGGTAGTGAAAGGCTGTTCTTACATGGCTAGGGACAGCAAAGAGGAAGGTCAACGTATTTGCAGCTACAACTTATGGGACTGTAGTTAGCTGCTCTGTTGACTTCAGGTCCCTCCCCCAGGGGTGAAGCAAGGCCTTGCCTCATCTCAAGCACAAGATGTAGGCCCAAAGCAGCAACATTCCATGTGTTTCTGACCCCTCTAAAATTGGTGCTTCTGTACTAGCACCAGGGTCATCTAGCTGCAGACTGGCATGTGGGGAAAGCCAGTCTACCCAACCCTAGAAAGCAGCTCCCTGCTCTGAGCTGTGAGGTGGCTTAAGGTTTTGCATGTCAGAGGAAGTAACTGCCTCAGCATGGCCCTGCCTGAGCCTGTGGCTTTAATGAAAGTTATTTTAACTTGATCTCAAAGCAGAGATCTACTGTCCCTGAAGCAGTGCCCAGTGAGAAGTTGGGGGGGTGGGGGGATGGATACAATACTGGGAAAGTAGGTAGGCCTAGCAGCAGGTAGGAGTGGAGAAAAAGAAAGACACTGTAAGAGAAGCAGAAGCTGAGAGAGGAAGATTGCAAATCTGAGCTCAACCTGGTCAATGAGAAAGAAAATGGTCAAAAGGTGGGGCAGAGGCTGTGGCCCTCAGCACAACAATCCAGTGTTCATTTGCATCTTGAAAAGCCTCCATTTTTATCCCTCTTCCTAATTAATTCTGTGGCAGAGTAGTGGAAGTATGAAAGTGCTTTCCAGGTTATTTTGGTTCCATCTGTCCTTAGAGATCCTTTGGTCCCTCTAGCAGCCCCTGCTTGGGTGCTGGCTGCAGCAGCCACTCCAAGCACCCTCGGGCTTTCCGTGCCAGCAGGCAGGGCTCAAGTACTTTGACAAGAAATACCATTGAGGCCAGGGATGTAGCTCAGTGGTGCCATACCTGCTTGACAAGTGCAAGGTCCTGAGTTTGATCCCCAGTACCAGGGAAAAAAAAAGTTAAGAAACACCACTGACTGAACTCTTCCTGTATCAGGCACTAGACATTCCCTGAGTCTCATGATAACCTAGAAGTTACTTAGTCCGATTTTTTATAAAACAGGCTCAGAGACCCAAGAATTCTTTTGGAGAAAACCAGCTCCTATGCCACAGCTGGCATTGAGGCCAATGAGTCCAAAGCCAGTACCCTCAACTTCTGCACTGTCCCAACAGACTTTTGGTGCAGCTTTCTGTGGGCTTCTCTTCATAACCACCAGCATGGAGGGACAGAAACCTTGTTCTCAGTCAGTACAATGCTGCAACTGCTGGATTCATAAGGACCAGGAATCTGACACACACAGCCCAGCCTGGCCAAAGAGCAGACACAATGGGTGTCTAACAGTCACCCCAAGGGCCACAAAAGCCTCTCTTCAGGGGAAAATGGCAACTGGGCTGCTTCACAGGTACATCCGGCACAGTGCTCACGTCCCTGCTCCTAAGCACAGGCCAGGCCCCTGCACCCAAGAAAAGGCTCATGTCGTCTCATGTTTACAGGGCAAGACCAACTTATTAACTATTTGGTTATACACAAATCAGACAACTAGCTCTGCCATTCTCTATAACCAGCCAACACTCCCTAGGTAGGAAATACTCAAGAGGAGTTCATTTGGAACTTAAAAAAAAATTAACACAAGGCTGAGGCAGGGGGATTGCTGCAAGTTCGAAGCCAGCCCAGGCTACACACTGTGTTCAAGGCCAGCCTGAACTACACACTGAGACCCTGTCTCAATTCCCCTCTATCTCACAATTAACATAATGAGCTGAGGCTGGGAGTGTAGCTTAGTGGTACAGATGCTGAGTTCTAGTCCAATACCACAAAACAAAAAGATATCAGGTTGATACTCAAATCCTTTATTGATTTAACTGTAACAGCAACCATTGGTGAGAATTTAATTTTTTCTCTAATTCCCAAATATCTGCTGGTTTGGAAAAACACAAAACAAAAACTGGTCAAGGAATCACACAGGACTGCATGTGCACTCCACTGTTCACCGGTGACAGAATGGATGAGGGGTGAGGGGCCAGCACATCAAGGAGATGAGGGCAAGACCAAGCAGTGCTGGCATCTCCACTTTTCCATTCAGCATAGTGGGAACTGGTGGCACTAGACACAGAGGGCTTTTTTGAGGGTGGTACTGGGGATCAAACTCAGGACTTTGTGCTTGCCAGGCAGGTGCAGTGGCCACTGAGCTGCATCCCCAGCCCCTAAAGAGGGCTTTTTAATATAAAATATTTTTAGAAGATGCTTAAAAAGCACACATGCATATACTCAGGCTCTTCAAGACACCTGTTTAAGGTGTACCCTGGGGCTGTGAGGGCCTCCTCCCCCAGGTGGATGGAGATGGGTTCACCTGCAGGTGATGCAAAGGCACTGCTCAGGGACTTATGATGAGGAACAGCCACCAGGAGGGAGCAGAAGGCTCCCCAACAGCCTCTCCCCTGCATCGCAGTGACAGTGGCCCCCTGGCCTGGGCTTTTGCTTTATAAAGGCTAAAGATGGAGAGGAAAGGGGTACACTGCGACAAGAATGGAGAATGGATATCCTGTGCTGGTCTCATGGAATTGTTTGAGGTGTCCAGGAATTTTGGTTTTAAGCACTGGCAAGAGCTCCCTTTAGAAACCTCAACATGGCCAAGTGAGTACCAAGCACTGATTCACCTCTGCCCAGTGGCAGAGTGAGCATTTCAATACCCTGGGAAGCATTTCAGCTCAGTACACTTCCTACAGGCATCTATGACATCTGGTATGGCCTGTCGGTGTGGCAGGCAGAGGCTAACAAGCCAACTCAAGACTTCAAAACCTAAGCTTTGCCAAAAAAATATCAACTTTAGGGCCCGCCTAGAGAAGAGTTTAAATTCCAGAGGGTGGGAAAGGTGTCCTGAATGATTAATTGGAAAAATGAGTATCTATCAATCACCATGTTAGTCTTCAGTTAGAAACTGCTGTGAATGAGCCTCAAAGAAACTGCACTAAAATGGCAAACCTTTCCTGGAACAGAAAGCGTGCCTGGAGTGTAAGCATTCTGCAGACTGGTGACAGACCTGCATCTGGATCCAAGTTCAAGGTCTGGATATGTAACGTAGTGATGTAGCACCTGCTCAGCATACATGAGGCCAAGTTCCATCTCCAGGACCAAAACAAAACAAAACAAAACAAAAAAAAAACCTGAGAGGTAAGCAACTGTCGGGTTACTATATCCTCCTTGAAGTTCAGGCAGAAGCTGCCCTCACAAAAATTTTACAACAAAGTGTACCCTCTCCCAGATGTTAAGGATGGGTAAGTGATTGGGTTTCGCATGTGAATAAATAGCCACTCATGTGCATGTAGTCCAGAAAACATGCTGAGAAGAGACAGTACTGAATTAGACAGCCAGACAGCCAGACAGCCAGACAGACAACAGGGCCTTCTCCCTAGAGGGGAATGGAAAAGGCTCAGGGCCCTGGCTTCAAGCAGTGGGTACTAAAGGAGGAGAGACTGTATCCCTGGGGCACTGCTTCCAACATGCTGAGCCTCCACTCACAGCCAGTAGGCACTGTGTACACGGCTGTGGCGTGAACTGGTACAACCCATGGGCCTTGCTGCTTTCAGATAGATATGCAGACTTCCACGTCTGAACTGGGAAGGAACTGGGTCTGAGCAACCCAAAGAACCAATAATCCAAATAACAATAAAAACAGCAATAATATAAAAGACCACCGATTTTTAACTTCATCCCAAGTCAGGAGGAAAAGCAGAGTTCACTGGATGGCACTTTAGAGATGAGGGCTATGCTTCCTGAAGGAGCAACTCTCTGACTACCTCAGCAGCAATGCTTTATGTTCAAGTACATGCTAAAGCAAGCACGGTTGCAGGGAAGAAAATCTAGGAGGGGCAGAGGGTAAAATCAAACAAGAATCGCCATCTTTAAGATACCTGAAATCACTCAAGATTGTCTGGGGAATGAGTGGCAGAAACAGCAGGCATCCACCAAGAATGTGTTGAGCTGAGAACCAGCCTCTAAGTTTCTCCTGAGGTGAAAACCAGACTGGTTCCCTATAAGAAAGCACTTCCATCAAGAAGCCCAGGGCAAGGTGGGCACAGAGTTCACCTGCACCCTGGACACAACGGGCAATCAGCAGACATTTATAATCCTCAGGTGTTCCCTAGCTTATGGAGAACAACCTGATCGAGTCTGCAAGCTGGTGTAGTTGAGAGAGCAGGTGCACAACACTGACTCAGGTGGGGACCTGGTTTCCTGACACTACCAACTATTTCACCCTGAATCTGAACTGCTTTCTCTTCTGCAGCTCAATAACCTCACTCCTATTCCCTTTGTTCCCCTTCAATTAAGACTGCTCTAGTGGCTCAGCTGGAAGGCCCCAGTTCCCTTTCTCAGCCAATTACTGATCAAAGGAGAATAATAGTGTAAATGAGTCCTGGAAACACCCAGTGTGTGCCTTGCAAACATCCCTGAGCTGCTGATAATCAGGCAGACGGAGAGCTACTATAGCTCTCTAGAAAACTGGTTTCTTGTCTTTCCTCTCCAGACTGTCAGGTAGGAGAAACTTTGTCTCCTATCCCAGTTTGATGATACACATCTTGGGCAACTGGTTTTAACAGCAATTTATCTTGTAGCTTATCATTTAGTTGAATCTCCCTTCCTTTGCCCTGTTTTCATCCCCTTTTGGGAGAATGGTGGTTTTAAGGCACTGTTACTTTCTCCTTGTCCGTCTCCTTGGGGGTCAGTCACTCAAAGGGAAGCCAACTATGACGGTGTGAGGACACTTGTGTTGCCACATGTGAGAACTACATGAGGCACCCTGCCAATAGCCACTGGGGAAGTCTGGAAGTAGATTCTCCAGCTCCAGATGACTGCAGCCTCTGCTCTCATCTTGAAACTTCATGAAATCCTGGGCAAGAAGCATCCTCCGAAGCTCTCCCGATCTACCCTTCAGAAACTAACAGATACTGCTTGCTATTTTAAGATATTAAATTTGAAAGTAATTTGTTACACAGCAATGGATAAGTAATACAGATAGAAGGAAAATTCTCTGGCTTGGAAGCCCAATTCCTAAAAGCCAGCTTGTTCACTCCTGTGTTCTTAATGAGACACGTATTTGAATAAACAGGAGAGCTAAGGAACTCAATGAACTACACAGTAAACAAGGCAGAACTATGACAGTGCGTATCTCCTGCTACAATCTGGAGGGAGGTAATTTCCCATAAGACTGATTATCCCCAGAAGTACAGAAATGTAGTTGCTTCATAAAAACCTAACGGTCACTAAGATTTTAAGAACTGTCCCACTCAGATGGTAACCTCAGATGGAGGGAGGCATTCCCTTCCTAACAAAAAGCCAGGACACATTATGGAAGGCTTCATCTGTGAGGTGCCCTCTGACCATCCCAAGGTAAAACACCTGCCAGACTCTGGCTTGCTCTGAAAACCATTCTGAAGCATGATACGAAGACATCATCTGCTGGAAGCTTATCTCTGTGTTGTGTGACTATTTCTACAATGCTAATTTATCAAGGACAAGTTATGCTGGCAGTGGTGGCCTCCAGGAAAGAACTGCAGCAAGCAGTAAGGAAGTTATGGCAGAGACGGATCCGGGTCTGGACAGCCCATACATTATGCAGTTTAACACTCCCAGGAAACACTAAAAACATGGCCTGTGATTAGAGATGATAAGACAGGGAGAAAGGATAACTTGCTACTACTCAAACTCTGTCCACTGTGGGTCAGCGAGGAAGCAAAGTCTTTACAGTGAGCAACACACATCAAGAAGAGTATAGCATACTGTCACAGCCAGCCTGCGAGCTGCTAGCTGGAGCCAGATTCCACAGGATGCAATGCCAGTAAATGAACAAGAAGCTTCACTCCCAAAGAACCAAACTCTAGGGTACAAAGGTCTGAGCAAACTTCTTAGATAAACGACAGCACAACTTTGTTTTTCTAAGACTATGTAAAGCAAATTTGAAGTTTAATTAAAATAAGAGGAATACATTAAACAAAATTTTTTTGATTACTGATTGTAGGACTCAAAGCACCCCCAAGACACTGGAGAGCCAGCTTATTCTTTTTTTTGGTACCAAGGATTGAACTCAGGACCTTGTGCTTACAAGGCAGGCAGTGGCACCACTGAGCTACATCTCTGGCCCTTCAGCTTATTCTTGTGAGACATTAACTGTCACAAGAGGTTTTCACTCTGAACTATTCACATTTTGTAGCAAAAGACAGAACAAATTTCTGCAAACACCCCCTCTTTCTAAAATAACTTTGCTAATAGCGTCTTCTTGTAGTTCCAAAGAAAACCAGCTTTCTTTCTCATTTCTTAGCCAATGGGCCTGGTACTCTCACCCTAGAATCTCTTAAGAATCCAACCAGAAATGCCCAGGACACCAATGGCTACTCTACTTGTTTTCACTCAAGGGGATGGTGTCTGTCTTCCTATAGTGGAGATGCTCCTGGAGCCACTGTGCCAGTCAGCAGTACCAGGAGAGCGGGGTGGGGAAAAGAGTGAATGGAAGAACAAAAAGATAAGAATGAGGTTTTCCTAAACAACCCACAGCAAGGCAGAATGGTCCAGTTTTACAAACCACCTACTACAAGCTCTAAAAACGCATACCCAAAACTTACGGAGAAGAAAAGAGGCCAGAAGGAATTGGGGAGGGAGACAAAGGACAATGACACCAAACAGCAGACTCGGCCATGGAAATTTCTTACTTTCCCAACACTGGAAGATGTTAAATTAAGAAGTTGCTGTTCAAAATTGTATCGAAAACATCTAAAAATAGGTCTGTAGTCATCTTAAAAATAAAATGTCACTCTTCAGTAAGTGACAGATATCAGATACCAACACTGGAGGTATCTTTGCTGTAGATGTGAAAAATGGCCTGGCAGAGGAAAGGGGTAGAAAAGAAGGGGGAGGGAAGAAAGGAAAGGGAGGACTCAGAGTACAATGGGAATGGCAAGGAAACTGGGAGGAACACGTTTTTAAATCCATGCTTATCTATCCCAGTAGCCAAACAAAGCAGATCCAAACACAAAAAAAATGTAGTTCTTTTCTAAGAACACTCCTAAAAGTTAACTTTAAATTCAAAATGTAAGAAACTGCAAGCCAAGACAACACATACCACAACATTCCATGGATTTTAAAACTGACCGGGACTGGGTACTCAAGTTGCTCTACAGTCTTTTAGGTATTATATGGCAGAATCTAGGACCAGGCCTTACTCAGCAAGCGGAAGGCAAAGTGCCTCTGTTACTTCATCTGGACCCACACTTGGAACAGACACTATCGCCTGGGTAGCTCCTAGTACGAGAGAACTCTGCAACAACAAGCTGCAGGCAGAGGAAGGCAGAAGAACAAAGGACAGCTGGTTACTGAGGGCTCCCTCCTGTCGGAGTTTAAAAATATTTGCACAAATGTGCAGAGTAAAGGAATGGGATGAGAAACTACAATACTGAAGACGTTCCTCCCAAGGGAAAGAGCGGATGCAGATTTCCAAATAGTGTCACAGAGCAATGCTACCACAGTCGCATAAATTGTGCTGCTCTGTCCTAAGGGCAAATACCTCAAGGTAAAAGGGAAAGCAGCTTTCTTTTTATCATTTCCCCTGGCTGGTTTTAAAGACCCTGAACCCAGCATTGAACCATGAGAGGTATACAAGGAGGAGAGACAGAGTAAAGAACATGAATGATGAACCTGCCAAACCTCTGTATCCCTTCTCCAGACATCCCAGGCAGGAAGTTGCTGATAGACTGATTTAGATCTGAGATAAATCTGAGGGGAATACAGAGATTCTCAACAGAGACAGGACCAGAGAAGCCAGTTTAACTGTTTTCCTCAACAGACAGATTAGCTCTACAAAGGCCTTCAAGCTAATCTGTCCAGATGGGCAGAAGACAGGAAACAGGAGAAAAAAACAGCCAGATAGAGCTCATCTTCCTAGTGTTTGGCACCCAAGGAAGAAGGGAGGCGGGGATGGCACTGGGGACTGCTGGTTCTGCCTCTGTCTTCCTGTTGGCCACATGAGGTCCACACGAGAATCTGCGTTGCTGCTTTTCTCCCATTCTTGCAGGAGGTCAGATGTCCATCTCAAACTGAGAATCATCCCCTGCATAGGAAAAAGAAAATGAGGCTTAGCACAAAAAGGAAAAGCAAAAACAATGAAGTGTCATTCTTTATACAGAATGGTAAAAAAATTACTCACTGTTTCTCTTGTTCTCTGCTGCTTTAAAACACTGTTTTGCTTTTGCATAAACTGAAAAATAATGTCAGCCATATCACCCACAGGGAAGAGCACTTGGGAAAAGGACACAGGTGAACTTCCCCAGTGCCCACTGTCCCCAAAGCTGACCACACAGAAGCTCTGAGCTGCCACCTGCCCAGTAAGCACACTGCTCTGGAGGCTTGGACGCAGGCCCTGCTCTGAACCCATACTCCCATACAATCAACTGGTCTCAGTTTCATGAGAGGATAAGGCAGGAGGACAGCAGGTTGAAGGCCAGCCTAGGCATCTTAGTAAGACCCTACCTCAAAATTTAATAAAAGAATTTTTTTTTGGTACCAGGGATCGAACTCTGGACCTTGCACTTGTGAGGCAGGTGGCGGAACCACTGAGCTAGATCCCTGGCCCTCTCAAAATAAAATTTAAAAAAGGGGTTTGGGAAAAAAAAAGATTGGGATCTAGCTTAGTGCTAGAGTGCTTGCCTAGCACCCATAAGGCCCTGGATCCAAGCCCCAGTACTGCAAAAAATGAAACAAAACAACCAAAACTCAATTGGAACTGGAGAAAGAAGAATGTTGGCTCATGCCTAGGGATCACCAAGAGCAATCATGGAGGTATATTCAAGGGCAGGCATTTCCACACCAGCATTCTGCTTCGACAAAGATAAAGACACTTTATCAGTAATAAAACTGTCTGTGTAAGAAATGTTTACGTAAATATTATAGGCACTTTTAGAAAGTGGCTGAAACAAACCATACTGCTAAGCTCATATCACAACAAGGACAGACTTGTGAGAAAACAGCCCTATTTTCTGAGGGTAATGGAAAGAGATTCATTCTGTGAGATTCATTCTGTTTTCTGTGGCAGATGTGTGTGTTTATCCCTAGTCCAATAAAGGCTGGGCATCCTTCATGCATAGTTCTAAGAGTCCCCACTAGAACTTACCACTCCCTGAGTTTAGACTGTGCCTCTACCAACCACATTTGATTAGGATTTAGGATTCTGGGCTCATAAAGCATTTCAATAAGCTTTTGGGGAAGAGAGGAGAAACCTTAGAGATGTAAAACTAAACATCAGTTGTAAGATGCATCAATATTTTTCCAACATACAGCACATTCCCAGAGCCATCCCTCTGTCCCCAATACCAGCATCCTCTTACCAACTGCATGCTTCAAGTTGTTCAAATTGTTTACTTCTACTTTGGAGTCTTCGATTAAGGTGCCAGGGCTAGTAACTCCCGGGATATTGGGCAGATGGCAGGGTGGGGTCTGAGCCATGGGAGAATTGCGACGATCCAACAGAAACTTTCGATCATAAATGATTCGAGTTCCTGGAAGATAGGGTGAAAAAGAGATTAAAATAAAGTAAGGGGCTACCGACACATACTACTACCCAGAACCTTAACGTTTTCACAATTCAAGTCAACATGATAAGCCCTAACCTCCTGCCCTTTCTTCCTCTTCTGCTGGGCAACTCAGCCTCAACATCATTTCCTCTACAAAGCCACCCTCCCTCCCCTTTTTAATCATTCTTTTCCCCATCTCACTTAGTATGTTTCACCTGGTATGCTATAGACTTTCAGTCCATTATGCCAGGTTTATGCCTTATTTATATCTGACCTGTGTCCTAACATTAAAATCTTCAAAAACATTTTTTAGATGAAGGAATAAACGTGTATGAAAATGTAGCCACCTTTTGGTTAAAGGCTTTCCACAGAAACACTGAGACTGAAATCCTTGCCAGACAGAGTTATGGTAGAACTCTTTATTCTACCAAAAACAATCTGCTTCTCAGAGTACTGGAATAACAGAGAAAAAACAATAACATGGGGGGCCAGGGATTTAGCTTAGCAGCATAGCACCTGGCTGGCAAGCGAAAGGTCCTAGGTTTGATCCCCAGTACCACCAAAAAAAAAACACACCAAAAACCCTAATAGTTATAAAAACCTGCTGTGTATAAGTGGCCAACAGGTACATAAAAGTATACAACATCTAATCATCAGGGGAATGAAAATCAAAACCACAGTGAGCTACCACCACACATCTGCTAGGCAGACTGTCATCAAAGTTGGCAGAGGCCTGTAATCTCAGCACTTCAGAGGCAGAGTTAGGAGAATCACTGGGAATTCAAGCCCAGCTGGAACTACATAGTGAGACCCTGTCTCAAAAACAAGACAAAACCCACAAGAAAGCCAGGTGGTGTGTGCGTTGGGGGAGAGGGGAGAGACCTGCAATTCCAGCTACTCAGGAGGCGACTGCAGGAGAATTCCAAGTTCAAGGCCAGTCCGGACAATTTAGAGATCTTGTCTCAAAATAAAAAGTAAAAAGAACCCAGGTATGGTGGTGCATGCCTGTAATCCCAAAATTCCGGAGGCTAAGGCGAAAGAATCACAAGTCAGGCCAAGCCCAGGTAATTTAGTGAGACCCTGTCTCAAAATAAAAAAATGGGCTGGGTATGCAGCTGAGTGCGAAGACCCTGGGTTCAATTCCCAGTACTACAAAAAATAAAATATCAAAAGGGCTGGAGATGTACATCAGTGTAAGGCACTGGGCTCAATTTTCAGTATCACAAAAACAATGACTCATACGAGATAAATATTGGCCAATATATTGAAAAGGTGTATATCATCAGTAGGGAAGTAAACAGTATAGCCGTCATGGAAAAAAGTATGGAGGTTCCTCAAAAATTTAAAAATAGCAAAGCCCTGGGTTCAGTCCCTAACACAAATAAAATGAAATGAAATAAAATAAGAACTTCCATATGATCCATCCACTCTTCTCTTGTGTATATATCCAAAGGAAATAAAAGCACTATCTCACAGAGCCAAGACGTGGAAACAACTTAAATACTGTATCTCAAAGTTGATGACTGATAAACGGGTAAAGAAAACATGATGGGGGCGGGTTGTGACCAGATATGGACACAGAGATGGAGAAGAGTAGTACACACATATGCACAAGAATGTCATTCAGCCATGAAAAGGAAATCCTGTCATTTGTGACAATATGAATTAACCTTTGTTAAGTGAAACTAGCCAGATAGAAAGATAAATACACCAACATTTCAGTTGAATGTGGAATCTAAAAAGGTCAAAATCATAGGAGAGTGGATCGTAGATGTCAGGGGTGGGGGAAATAGGAAGGTGCGATCAAAAGATATGAGATACAAAAAAAAAAAAAAAAAGATATGAGGTACAAAAGATACCATTTACAATAGCATAAAAAAATTACTTTGGTATTAACCTAAGGAAGTGAAAGACCTCTACTATGAAAATTACATTAGACTGAGAAAAAGAATCGAGAATTATTGAACACACCAGAAAATGAAAAAATAATACCTGTACCTGAATAGGCAGAAGCAACATAATCCAAATGCTTATACTTTCAAAACTGATAAACAGATTTAATGCAATACCAACCAAAATGCCAATGTCATTTCTCACAGAGCTACAGAAAAAAATCCTAAAATTTACATGGAATCAGAAGAGATCTAGAATAGCAAAAGCAATCTTGGGTAACAAAGGCAAAGCAGGTGGCATCACAATCCCAGACTTGAAGTTATACTACAAAGCTACAGCAATTAAAACAGGCTGGTTTTGGCACAAAAGCAGGCATGTGGATAAATGGAGCCAAACAGGAGAAACAGAAACAACCCCAGATACACACAGCTACTTGACATTTCACAAAGAAGCCAAAAAACATTCACTGGAGAAAAGATAACCTCTTAAATAAATGGTGCTGAAAAAATTGCACTTCCAATGCAGAAGATTGAGTCTAGACCCATATATCTCACCATGTACTAAACTAAAATCAAAATGGATCAAAGATCTAAATGTTAAAACAGAAACAATCTGCTGGAAGATAAAATAAGCATAACTCTTGAAGGCAAGGACCAATGGAACAAGAAATAATACTGAGCAACAATAATGGGAGTGTATTAAATTTAAAAATTTCTATACAGCAAAGGAAACAACCAACAAAAGTGAACAGACAGGGGGCCGGGGATTTAGCTCAGCGGTTCAACCACCTGCCTTGCAAGCGCAAGGACCTGAGTTCAATTCCCAGTACCAAAAAAAAAAGTGAAAAAACAACCTACAGAATGGGAAAAAATTTTTGCCAACTATTCCATGGACAGAGGGCTGACATCAAGAATATATAAAGAACTCAAAAAAATTAGACCCACCACCCCAAAATAAAAGACCCACTCAAAAATGAGTAACCAAAATGAATACTTTTCAGAAGTGGTCAATAAATACCTGAAAAAATGCTCATTATTGCTGGCCATCAGAAAAACAAATTAAGACCACACTGAGATATTGTCCTATCCAGAAAAGAATGGCTATCACAAAAAAATCTAATAATAACAAATGAACTTTATTTACTATATTGTTGGCAGGGATGTAAACTAGTATACCACTATGGAAATCAGTGTGGCAACACCTCAAAAAACTAAGTAGAAATTCCGTTTGACCCAGCTATTTCTTCCCTAACTATCTTCCCTAAAGAGTTAAAATCATCATATTACAGAGATATATGCATACCCATGTTTACATCAGCACAATATAGAATGGCTAGATATTGGAGACAGCACATAAGTCCATCAACAGATGAATAAATAAGGAAAATGTGGTTTTTATACTTAATGCAATACTATGCTGCAATAAAAAATAAATGAGGTATTCATAGATAAATGGGTACAGAACAAAGGAGGAGAGGAGAAAGGAAGGATGGGACAAGAAAAAAAAGTGAAAATAGAAGGGAAAATTGGAAACAAAGCTTTTGTACATAGGGGAGGGGGGAATGGCATAGGTAAATAGATGCAACTTGAGAACGTGAGGTTAAGTGAAATGATTCAGACACACAAGCTCAAATATGCAATAGTTTCTCTTATATGAAAAACATGGCTTGTGTTTAGATGTCCCCCGCAAAGCCTTGAGTGGTCATAGGTGGGGCTTTTTCCAGAGGCGGCTAGATCTAGAGTCTGTGATGCTGGAATTGAGTCATGGTAGAATGCTAGGCTCAAAGGCACTAGGATTAAGGGCGTTGAGTGCTGCCTGCCCCAAGTAGCCTGGGTAAGATAAAAGGGCAGAAAGAGTAAGGGCCCTTGTTGCTTTGCTATCTTCTGCCTGACCTGAACTGTTCTCTGCCAAGCCAGCGTGCCTTGGAGCCAGTGGATTATAGACAGAAACTGCTACAAACTTTGAGCTAAATAAACCTTTCCTCCCTTAACTTGTGAGCGAAACAAACCTTTCCTCCCATAACTTGTGGGTTTTGGGTATTTTGTCTCAACAGCAAGAAAAGTGACAGAGACAATATATATACATATGTATACACACCCACACCCACACCCACACACACACACACACACACACACACACACACACACGAAAGAGTACAAAATAGAAGACAAATACAAAGTAATGAGAAGTTCAAATACTTCCCCAAATTACATATTCTGTCGTTTTAGAAATTGCAACATATATGCTAATTTGTATCACTTATAGTAATAGTTTGTTATGTTTCTTTTTGTAAGAATATTTTGTTTTATGTATTTTCCTAACTACTTTGAAGATAAACAGTGTAATAACTATTGTTATTCTCTTATTATTTGTATAAGACAGTTTATTTTATTTTTTCATAAAATAAAAAAAAGTTTTCATCTTCAGACTAAGTTCTGGTGACTTAATGTACTACATGGTAACTATAACAGTACTGTATTACATGCTTGCAGTTTACTGAGTAGATCTTCAATGTTCTCTCCACATACACAAAACTATAGATGACAGATGTGTTAAACTCAACTGTGATAATTGTTCTACTATACATACATACATACTCAAGTTCTATACCTTAAATTTATACAATTTTATTTGATAATCATACTTCAATAAAACTGCGAGAGGGCGAGACACCCACTATCCATTCTTTTTGTCCCTGGTCAAGTTACTAGTGGGTATAAGTAAGAAATAAAACTATACAACCATTACTGATGCCTGACGCAGGTCAAATGTAGCGGATGGTGGAGCCTTGCCCCTGATTCTAAGACTATGCCTGGTTCATCAAGAAAGAGGGCAATGGGTTAGGGATGTCGGCTAAAAGCGGTGACAGTAGAAAGGGAAGTAGCCCAGCATAACTGCCAACCCAGGAGAAACAGTCCGGAGTTTTCTGCTCACAATGGGTTTAACTCAGAGGAAAAACCCGCCAATATGAAATTATGTACTACTCAGTTTAAAGGAGAATCTCCATGGTATCTGAAGTCAGTGGTTTTAGATTCTCTAATTGGGGCGGGGGAAGGAAACTCGTGTTCTACTAAAACAAGGAGAGTCTAATTCAGACTGATTTCCTCCAACAACACGGGCGATGGCTACTCCCCAGGAAATGGAGGA